CCAAGCCGCCACGGAGGGAGTGGAAGGGGGGCGGAGCACTGACGTACACGGCCGGGAGCAGGGCCGTGTACGTCAGTGTTACAGACTCACAGACACTGGGCTACTATATATATATGATTGTGCATTATTCATGCACCTATAATACACCTCCATGTGGATATAAATCTAAAGGTTTGAGCAGGTGATGAGGAAGTCCAAGAACCTGGACTTCCTTTCGTAACTGTGCCACTGCCTTTCTCTGTGACCTAGATAAATAAAAATATCTAAATAAAGGGTGTAGCAGAGCAAGCCTCTAAGTGTGTCCTGGGGAATTCTAGGAGGTATTTGTAAGCAGAATGCCTCCAAGGTCTCCTTCTTTATTATGGAGTGAAGCTATATCTAATTCTGACACTCCCCATCAATTAGTCATATAAATCTTTGAGATTGTGTTACCAATGATCCTATTTAAAGATAATGAATATTATTTATTTGTCTTGAATTGTTATATATTAATATGCCATGCAATTTTGATCACTTTACCTTTATGTGTAAAACAACATTAAAGATTTTGTCATTTGTGAAATGTTATCAGGATAACCCTGAGAAAACTGCTGAATCGGAACGTGGGAATTTTTTTGTCACTGGAGACAGAGGGACTAGGGATGAAGATGGATATTTCTGGTTTCTTGGAAGATCTGATGATATCATCAATTCTTCAGGGTTAATTTGTTTTTACTGGTTTTGCAAGATTTCTGTAAGGTTCCGTGCTATTATAACATTTATAAGAGATTAGAAGATTTACCCGGCATTACTCAGACCCTTAACTCAATTAATTTTTATTTTTCATAATTTAAATCCTTGCTCTGGGAGTGGCTGGGGATGAAGGATTCAGTATGCAGGCTGCCCAAGGGAGAGAGGACAACTCCAGCCCTCTCTCTCACCGCAGCAGGTTGGGGCCAAGTGAAAAGCAACTCCAAGTACAGCTGGGGAGGGATGCATGTCCCCCAGCTGGGGCACAGACACACAGACAGACCAACACACAAACTCTCTCAAATATATAGTAGATAGCTGTCCCTTTCTCCACCTCTGCCCCCTGCTGTTCCAATGGGGTTACAGCTGTCCCAATCCCCATCGCTAGCCCCTTGCTGCCCCCTGTGGTCATTATATAGCACAGAGGTGGGCAATAATTTTTGACAGGGGGGACCCTTTAGACTTTTTTGAAGTGGCTCCAGGCTGCCCTGAAAGGGGCGGTGCCTCAGGCAAAGGGGACAGGGACGAGATACTTCCTGTTTCCCCGCCCACAGACCCTGATTGGTCAGGGAGTGGGTGAGCATGTAAAGCCTGTGCCCCTGATGGTGGGAGGAGAAGTCTCATACTCCCCTCCGCTCCCCAGCCAATCAGGGCTTGGGGCCTGGGAGAACATGTGAAGTCTTCTCCTGCCCTGCCCCATTCCTTCTAAGTACCACACGCTCCCTGCAGGATGGGAGCAGGGTGGGAGGAGACTTTGTGCACTCTCCCTGCCTTCAAGCCCTGATTGGTTTGGGGATGGGAGGGAGTGCGAAGTCTCTTGCTCCCTGCCCTTAGGCATGTGGGGCTTAGAGTCAACCACCAAGGTTGACTCTAAGCACCGCACACTCCCCAGTCCCTACACCCTGATTGTCCTGGGGGCTGGGAGAGCAGCAAGGCCTCTGCGGGCTAAATCAACCTGTTTGGAAGGGCTGGATCTGGCCCGTGGAGGCCCTTTTGCCTACCCCTGGCCTAGAGGCAAGTAGCTTTTGTACCATGCCTAGCACAGCGTGGGTCTGATTTATGGTTGAGGCCTTAGGCAATAATCAGTTCTTTCTTACCCCACTACTGGTTAAAAGTCATATTCACACCAGATCAGTATAATTAAATACCTCATTTTCCTATCCTAGGTATCGTATCGGACCCTTTGAAGTGGAAAGCGCATTGCTGGAGCACCCAGCTGTAGCAGAATCTGCTGTTGTCAGCAGCCCAGACCCACTCAGAGGCGAGGTAATGAGGCTAATAGTGCAGAGGAAAATATTTCATAGAGGCAAACCAGTTTGTGATTCACTGTACAAAGTGCAGCTGTTGCACAGCATCGTGTCAGCATGAATAGTCCTTTACCGGGATGATCAATAGAAACCTATGTACATCTCTTCCCTCTACTTACTCATCTCCATTGTGATGGACATAATTATGGTGACAGAAACTTTCCCAACAATAGATCTTCCTATTAAAGGCTGGTCTACACACCCACGTTGTAACACTTTTACACTGCCAGTATAGTTAGAGCAGTACAGCACCTTTTGGCTGTGTCCAGACTCAGGGGTTTTTTCGAAAACAGTAGCCTTCTTTCGAAAAAACTTCACCTGCGTCTAGACTGCAGCCGCGTTCTTTCGAAATTAAATCGAAAGAACGCGGCTTTTCTTTCGACGGCGGTAAACCTCATTTCACGAGGAAGAACGCCTTCTTTCGAAAGAAGGTGTTCTTGAATGTAAATAGGGCTTCTTCGAAAGAGAGCATCCAGACTCACTGGGTGCTTTCTTTCGAAAAAGCGGCTTGCTCTTTCGAAAGTTCCGCGTGCAGTCTAGACGCTCTCTTTCGAAAGAGCCTCTTTCGAAAGAGGCTTGCAGTCTAGACATAGCCTTTGTGTGGCTGCAGTTTTTGGCAGAAATGTGCTTATATCGCTACAGCTATTCCCATGCTGGAAAGGGAATAAGCTATACTGGTACAGGCAACTTTATTCTGGTATAATTGTATCCAGATCAGTGGTTACATTGATTAAAAGGTTACACACTCCTAATCAGCATAACTATCCCAGGACACCATGAAAGCACACTTCTGCCACATTAAAGTGGAGCTGCACTGCCTCAGGGTGAGCTCTGGGAGTTGTGTGCAGGCCCAGCCAAAAATTCTGCGGGTCCCAAGGTGGCATATTGTGGTTGGCTGCACTGCATGGCTGGACAGTTCCCAGCCAAGGCAGTGAGCAAGCAACCAAGCAGGCTGGCACCAGGCAGTGCGGGGCCCAGGGCAACCACCTTGCTCATCTTGCTCTAAGGCTGGGCCTGGCTGTGTGAGCAGGGCATGCTCAGGGCTTCAGAGAAATCAAAGCGTCCGGAGCTCCCACTGAGCACAGTCATTGCAACCCCCCTTCCATAGGGGGCACCAATATACTTCGTTCTATGCCAGTAAGCAATATGTACATGGCATGGCCACCTTTAGAGATGGTGGAAGCACTAGCCAGCAGCAACCATTGTGACTGTGCACTACAATTGTGCCTAAGCCCTCTGCACTGCTGTGATAGGCAGAGGGGACAATCCTTATACTTCTCCTTTCACTTACTTTCCTATGCACAGGTTGGTCACAATCTTTTGAGACAGATTGGCTTGTTCCTGCATCCCTTAATTATCTTGTGGTCTGGGGATCATATTGCTAACTAGGAACTAAATCTAAAAATTACTATTGTACTGCTGGTGTCAGTTTGGTATTTTTCATTTTACCCTGTAGGTGGTGAAAGCTTTTGTGGTCTTGTCAGCTGCCTTTTCCTCATGTGACTTGGAAAAATTAACACTTGAGTTGCAGGAGCATGTCAAGAAAGTTACTGCTCCGTACAAATATCCCAGAAAGGTAAGTACCTCCCTGGGGTGATATTTAACATAAAACATGCCCCCTTAAATCTCTCCAGAATGAATCATTCTGGTTATACTTAGAATTACAAAGATTCCTTCAATCATCTAAAAGAGAGCTCAAGCTTTAGGGAGACAGTCTGCTTCAGAGAAACTTTCCTAAATCTCTTTTATTTTTCAATGAAATTATTTGATAATAAATGTATCTTTATCAGAGGGGTAGCCGTGTTAGTCTGAATCTGCAAAAGCGACGAGGAGTCCTGTGGCACCTTATAGACTAACTGAAGTGTAGGAGCATAAGCTTTCGTGGGCAAAGACCCACTTCGTCAGATGCATGTAGTGGAAATTTCCAGAGGCAGGAATAAATATGCAGGCCAGGATCAGGCTGGAGATGACGAGGTGGATCCAGTCAAGGAGGATGAGGCCCACTTCTAGCAGCTGATCTGGAGGTGTGAATTCCAAGAGAGCAGAAGCTGCTTTTGTAGTTAGTGAGCCATTCACAGTCTTTGTTTAATCCAGAGTTGATTGTGTCAAAACTTAAAGATGAACTATAGCTCAGCATAGTGATAGAAATGTAGCCGTTTCTCTTTGAAGTCTGGTCCTGAAGTTTTTTTGCTGCAGGATGGCTACTTTTAGATCTGCAATTGTGTGTCCAGGAAGATTGAAGTGTTCTATGTTGCCATTCCTAATATCAGATTTGTGTCCATTGATTCTTTTATGTAGCTGAGTGTGTAGTTGGAGAGATTGACGATATTGCTGGGTGAGTTAGGGGTACCACTGTTGTGGCCCCATGTGGCAGGTAGGATTTTAGACAGCTTACAGTCCTTTTTCCTCTGTAGAGAAGTGAAGTGTGTAATGTAGATCTCCTGTACTCCAGAGTGGAGAGCTCTTTTTTGATGTTTTCCTGTTTGCTGTACAGGATGCTGATCAGGTGGTTCCTGATCAGGTATCTTTGTACTTTTAAAAGTATTCCTGGACCAAGTATAATGTCTTAATCGGATATTTAGTCCCCATGTTCCAAACCAGTGGTAAAATCATCAGCTTCTTACTTAGCTTTTACCTAATCCTTATTCAGACATATTCCAGGGTTGTCAGTGGAAATTCCCCTAATTAAAGCCTGAAGGATTTGTCCCTTAGGCTTTGGAGTAAACATATTTACAGAAACCACCAGAGGTATCCACCTTAGGCTTCTTATGAAACTCGGTGTGCCTGGAAAACAGTAGGTACAATCAGTATGGGCATATCTACACATATAGCTCTTCCTACAACATAGTGCTGTGCACATCCCCTAAGCAACACTATTCATACCCCTGTGCTACATAAGTTATGTCAAAAAGCTGTATTGTAGACATAACCTTAGTTAATACCTGATTCTGGAAACTCTCTGGCAAATTACTCCCATTCTTCTATATGGGGCCAGAGGCACTATTACAAAAAATCCTGAAATATCGCTGATAATCATACCAAGCTGGTTTGTGTTTTTCCTAGATGGAATTTGTCCAACAGCTACCAAAGACGATCACCGGGAAAATCAAGAGGCATGAGTTAAGAAACAAAGAATGGGGACGAAAGTAACACTGTCAGAGAGTTTAACATAGCTTCTTTCACTTCTTTGACACCTTCTAAGCTGTAATGCTTCTTAGGGTGCTCTGGACTGTGTTACCTTGTCTCTCCGCTACCCCCACCCCACTGCCAGCAAGAGAGAGACTTTCTGGCACTTAACCAGTCTGTTAGTCACCCAAACAATCTCCTCAGGGCAAAGCAAGCCCTCATTTTGGTTTGCATAGGTTCACCCCAGTCCTCACACCCTGTTGGATAGCTGAAACCCAGCCAGGTAGAAAAAACCCAGGTTGTCTGCCATTTCATCCACATGTGGCAGGAGAGTAATCTAGATCATATTATGGGTCAATGAACAGACTTTGTGAATGTCATACACAGCTTACTGGGTGTGATTATCCCTTTAGCTGCTGGCCCCATTCTTCTATAATATTGTGTCTGTGAGCCTATGGCCAATTTCTTCCAGTAGCTACAGTTGCCAGATGGTTTCCACAAAAATACCGGACACACTTGACATTACATCACAATCTACATTACATCTTATTTAGAAAATACCGGACATTTATATTTTCTCATTTATCTTTTCTCAATTTGTTTCCCAAACAGAATGCTCAAATACTGGACTGTCTGGTTCAAAACCAAACACCTGGCAACCCTAACAGTAGCATGTACTGCGGTCAGTGGGCCAAAAGACTCACCAAGATGGGGTGTGGCTCTGTGCCTCCCCTGAAGGGACGGGGCTGGGGCTAGCCTCTCCCAGACCTCTCTCAGTGCTGCCCGGAACATACCACATGGGATTCCAGTGGTGATTTAAAGATCCCAGGATTCCCGTGGCCACCACTACCACAGTAGCAGTCATGGCAGCCAGGAGCCCTGGGCCCTTTTGAAATCTGGGCCCCAGGGCACTTGCCCCCTTTGCTTCCCCTTCCCACTCCCCTATTGGCAGGCCTGACTGTAGTGTGCTGAGTTCTAATGACATACGGATGCTTAACTCTTCAACACCAAGGCTGTGTCTACACTGGCAAGTTATTCCGGAAAATCAGCCACTTTTCCAGAAAAACTTGCCAGCTGTCTACACTGGCCGCTTGAATTTCCGGAAAAGCACTGATGATCTAATGTAAAATCATCAATCCTTTTCCAGAAAAACTATGCTGCTCCTGTTCAGGCAAAAGTCTTTTTCTGGAAAACTGTTCCAGAAAAGGGCCAGTGTAGACAGCACTGTACTGTTTTCCGCAAAAAAGCTCCGATCGTGAAAATGACGATCGGGGCTTTTTTGCGGAAAAGCGCGTCTAGATTGGCCACGGACGCTTTTCCACAAAAAGTGCTTTTCTGGAAAAGCATCCTGCCAATCTAGACGCGCTTTTCTGAAAATGCTTTTAACGGAAAACTTTTCCATTAAAAGCATTTCCGGAAAATCATGCCAGTGTAGATGTAGCTCAAGTGTTGCACTTTGCCCCCTCAAGAAAGCTTAATTTTTTGGCATGTGATCTTTTATGAGTACACCAAGTGTCTTTGACAATCAGTTGTCCTTGTCAATTCACTAAACAGCAAGTCATTTTAAAGAACAGCACCTTTTGGGGGGCTGAGAAAAAATTCAGCATCCCTAGAAGTGTGTATTGAACTCTCTGCTGTTGGGCTTTTATTGTGATTATAAAACTAGATTTGGAATGTGATTGTTTTGAATAATGAAAAAGAACATTTATTTGCTAAGAATAAACACTTGTGCATGGGAATAAAATAATTTCTGTGCAAAAGATTGCTGCAATGAATGAAAAAGTTTAATAAATTCAGTATGTACTTTGCACCACTTTTTGGTTTTGGCTTCTTTTTAAAGATACATCAGTGTCTCACAAAGATTTTAAAATAATGTTTAGTTACCTTACTCTGATGTCAGTTACATATGTGACAGCCATTCAGGCAAAGTAATCATTCCTCAGTTATCCAGTCTTGCAAATCTCTTCTCTTTTCCCTTGACACTTTTTATTTCTGACATCATCTGCATTCATAGCTCATATTCCTACTGGCATAACATACTTAGAGTGAGGGTCTCAAACTCAATTTACCTTGGGTTCATCTACATGGCACCCTTACCTCGAAATAAGCAATGCAATTTGCACTGTGCAAATTGTGTAGTTTATTTTGAAGTAATTTTGAAATAAAACACTATTCTGACAAGTCCCTTAACCCTCATAGAATGAGGGTTACAGGGGTGCCAGGATAGCATGCCTGTTATTTCAAAATATATTTCAAAATAACGGGCAAGTTTAAAGATGTGGAATAGCTATTTCGGGATACCTTCGGAATCCCGAAATAACGCTGCAGTGTAGACATAGCCCTGGAGGCCAGGACCAGTCCTCAAATCCTCTTACAGGGCCAGCAGGCACTCCCCTCTGGCATGGCTCTGAAGGAGGGATGTCTGTGCATTTCCCTCCAACATATCTCCTAGTCAAGCCTGCTGGCTCATCCTCTCCCCACCACCCAACCCCCGTCACCACCACCACTGCATTTTCCGGACTTGCCTGTTGCCCCTGAGCAATTTAAAATTCGCCAGGGCTTCTGCAGCCACCACTGGCAGCACAACAGGGCTCAACTAGCTTCTTGCTACTAGCTCCATGCCTCTGCTGGAATATCCCTGTGGCATACTGGGGTGTGCAGAGCCATGCCATCCACAGGTGTAGGCTGTGAAATTATTAACTCATTTTGTGAAACTGACTAGATATCAGTGATGCCAACTCTCCAGATTTGATCACAAGCTTCCTGATTATTTGGGCTTTTTTTTTTTCCTGGAAAGCCTCAGCCACACTATTAGAAATAAGCCAGCTCTGTGAACTCCACCTGATGTCCCTTGCACTGCTATCGCCTGTGATGTCTGATTTAGTACATTATGTTTGTTTGTTGGTACATGGTATCAGAAGAGAATCACAGCCTTTTTCTTTTTCTTTTAAGGAAGAGACATTAGGTCTGATGATTTGTGGAGAAAAGTTTGAAAACGTGCTCCGAGGTCAGCCAAAGACAGCAAACTCCAGTTGCCAAATAAAAAGAACCCCAACTGTCTTTTTATCTGTGATTTCAAAGAAGCCATTCTCTTTTGGGGGTATGGCAGAGCTGAGTTTTGAACTATTGGAGTTGGCAATACAGTACATGCAGGTTGATAATATCTCCCCATTTGGCCACAAGCCCAGCGAGCAGGATATTACAAAAGACACAAAACAGAGTCCTCACTCTGCCAGCCCCATGTCTTCACCGGGATGCCCCCACTCCCAGCTAACATCCCCACTCTCACGCTGGAATCCTGCCCGCCCCGCCAAGCTAATAACAAATGCATCCTCATGCTGGGATCCCCAGCCCCTGTATGAGTAACCGAAAACGAAACCCTCCAGCTCTGCCCCGCTGGCTGCAGAAACGCATCTGCTAGGGCAGCTCCCCGGCCAGAGCAGTTGCATCACGGCAGGGGCAGCCCGCAGGGCCGGCCTTAAGCCCGCGCTCTGCAGCCCGCTGCGGGCTGCTGCGGCCGCCATGCAGGTGAGCGGGGAGACGCCCGGGCGAGAAGGTTTTGAAACTGAAAAAAGGGGGGCGGCGAGCGCGGTTTGGAGTTCGGCCCCGCAGAAGGTAGGGGAGGGGGAGATTAGGGGGAGGTGAGGGAGAGGAAGAGGCTTGTGCGGAGGGGGAAGAAAGGGGAAGGCACCAAGGGACAGGGGTGCAGGAGAGACAAATGGCAGGGGGCCAAGTGCAGACAGTGAGGGAAAGGGCAGGAGGGGAGGTGTCAGTGGGAGGGGGGACAGGGTGATGCTGGGTTAGGAGAGGAGAGGGGAAGGGCATTAGGGGCTGGAGGGGGGAGGGGAAGGTGCTGGGAGAAGGCTTGAAAGAAGGGAAATGCAGGACAATGTAGCACTTTAAAGACTAACAAGATGGTTTATTAGGTGATGAGCTTTCGTGGGCCAGACCCACTTCCTCAGATCAAATAGTGGAAGAAAGTAGTCACAACCATATATACCAAAGGATACAATTAAAAAAAGCATTAGGGGCTGGAGGGGGGAGGGGAAGGTGCTGGGAGAAGGCTTGAAAGAAGGGAAATGCAGGACAATGTAGCACTTTAAAGACTAACAAGATGGTTTATTAGGTGATGAGCTTTCGTGGGCCAGACCCACTTCCTCAGATCAAATAGTGGAAGAAAGTAGTCACAACCATATATACCAAAGGATACAATTAAAAAAAATGAACACATATGAAAAGGACAAATCACATTGCAGAACAGGAGGGGGATG